TAGCATCTATTTCTAGCACCCCCTTTGCAGCATGCAACGATTGCATGCCCTTTTGCCAGGTTCATGTCAGTTTGCTGTCCTTGCAAAAAAACAAGCAAACACAAAGCAACTGCACCATGAAGCTAATGAGGCTCATTAAAGGCCCGGGCCTCCTCCAGTTCCCGATAACGGGGCTCGATGGACATCATCCTGCTTTTCATACCAGTGGTCAGTTGCCAGTCGTAGGACTGCAGCGTACGCAACGCGCTGCTGCTTGCGCGCGAGCTGCGGCGGCTCCGCCTTGGGCTGCGCTTGGGGCGCTGCCTGGGGCGCTGGGGCGCTGCCTTGGCCTTGGTCCGGCTTGTTACCCCGCCGGTTTGGAGCTGCTGCCGGCTCCTTTTACGTCTCCTCTTGCAGCTCCTGCGGCTCGGTCGGCTCGGGATCCATCGTGTTTATAGTTTTGGACGAACGACAAGGACGACCCCCGAAACATTCTCAAAGGAGACCCTGTTAGTGTCTTGGCTACGCTGACATTCTTTGGAGCCAGTCTCACACAGACCAATCCTCATTGAGAAAACCATCTCTTTTCAATTGTCAAGAGGCCTGGAAGCAGAGTATCGCTTGGAACAAATCATGCGTTTGGTGTATTACATCTGTCGATCAGAAAATATGGCAATTGTGTCTGCAACAACGTACCAATTTGGATACCTTGGCCAGCATGCCGCCTGTTGTCTTACCTGCCCCAACGCGGCTAAAAGTGTGCGATCCGCAGTTTTGCCTATTGCCTTACATGGCGGTGAAGTTATGTCTCCTACCAACGATTAGTTCTCCAAATTTCGAACGAACATCATACGTGTTGTCGGCCCACGCTCCAAGACCAAATCGTGGCTGGCGTGTAGCAATCTGTGTGAACAGTACATTGAACCACTGTTTCACTGTGTGGTTGACTACTGCGACGAATGCTTGCAATCGATCCAGAGATTACATCCGACATTTGGGCGGCTGCTCTTGCCCTGCGTGATGCGTACTGGACCAAGGGCCGACTTTACAGCGCATGCGTCTTGTTTGCACTCTTACTGTGTTACCGCAAAACAGATTATGTACCACAGCCGCATTGCCTGGGAAGATTTAGTCACTCAACATATGCTTGCCGCAAAACGTTGGCAGGAAGTAAGCTCCATCAACATGTTCAACATGCTGGCTCTCTCAACTCCCTAGCACTTGAGGAAGAAGTATTTCTGCGCAATCAACTTGTGTATATCCACTGCCCCTCAATAGCGGCAGTCCGGGTGAATTGCTCATGACGAGAGAAGAACGTCCTCATCTTGCCCTGTGTTCTTGAATTCCAAGTTTCTGACGATTTAAGGAACATGTTCTGCACGTCTCTTATCGTGAACACCAACGGACCAGCAAGCGAAAGACATGTGATCTGTGCCAGTATTCGTGACCATTAAACGGTCGAAAAGCAGCGCTGCAACAATGGGCTCTGCGTAACTGCCGTCGACTTTCAAGGTTGCAAAACGGCGCTGTTTCATTTTCGCAGACTGTTGCCCTTGCTGACTTAGCAGCCATTCTGGTCGCACTGCGCGTGGTTTACAGAGATAATCGACACGCTGTCAATCTTGACAACAATATACTACGCCAACCCGCCCAGGCGTTACTGGAAAACGGACAATTTTGCTCATCAGGACTTGTGGGCCAGACCGATCCCAGTAGAGCGGTATCATGCAATTGGAAATGCAATTGCCGACTTAACCCGTCAACGCGGCAAGAGCCATTGGTTTTGCAAGACACTGGGTTCAGCTTTGCCACCGCCGCCTACAGCCTGAGCGTCTTCTTTACTGTTGGCCCTCGGCAAAGTGTGCATAAAAGCACAAAGACCCACAGGCCGAAAACGCGAACCAAACAAAACTCACAGCAGACCAAACAAACGGAAACTCAAACGGGCCGGGCCCTACGGCGCTTGCGAGAAACAGAAGCACGCTTGCGAGAGGCAAACAAATGCCAATCCCACCGCCACTTCGTTCTTCTCATCTTTGTTTAGTGCGGATGGGCGACTGCGACGCGGGCCCTCTCTGCAACGGCCCTCATCTTATTTTTGATTAGTCCCAACCTCTGCCAGATACATACAATGCGCTTGGTCAACTTGTTCGAATGCTTCTGAATTCTCTTCTGCGGGGACATCATTTTCACTCGGAAGCGAAAAACATGTCGCCTCTTTAGCGGGCAAATCCATGACGATAATTTCATCCTTGTCCTCCTCCAACAAGGTCCACTTGAGGACATCGTCCAGGCCATAAACTGTGGCAGCGTGAATATCTAGCTGCATCATTCGAAGCACTTTTGATTTTGGCTTCGTTGTGTCAAGCGGGTAAAGAGGGTGGACTCTTTCTCTTTTTCAAGGAACATTTCCTTCCGTGGTTCTTGCTGATCTCAATCAAGTATTGAAGGTAGTGCTTCCGGTTCAGCTCGTTGTCGTGGGTGTGAATCCGGTCCGATTTGGAGGTGTTGCTGACCAGAGTCTGGGGGTTGAGCACAGTAATGTCGCCCCCATGGCCGCATACCCGAGCGTATCCGTCCATTCGGACCTTGCAGGATTCAATCAATCCGTAGACATCGCACGATCAGGACAACTTGAAGGACATCGTCGCGGTATGAGATGGGACGAAGCCGTTCGCAAGCCGTCGTCGCGCCCTTGCATTCTGCGTGATGATGTCCATGGCGGCCTTCCTCTTTGCCTCGGTATTTGTGGCCCAGCCTGCTAGGGCGGCAGGGTTGTCGATATAGCCATTGCGACCGACAACGTCATTGCCAGACCATGAAATAACGATCCGGCAATGCGTAATGGTTTGGAGGATGATGGCTTAGGAGTTGGTGTAAATAACTTTCTGCAAGGTTTGACTTTGATGAGTTGAGTTCCAAGGTCAAATCCAACCATTGTTCCTTCAAGAGAAATGATTTTTCCTTTCAACCATATTCTTGCCTAGTTATCTTCCTACCAGTAAAATACCTTGTCCTGTACGTGAAGAGGTTTTGAAATCATTCGGAAATTCGAAGCAAAGTCTCTGCGGATGTCTTCGGATTGACAAGCTTCTTGGAGCGCTTGTTTTGAAAACTGCTTAATCTATCAGCTCTTCCTCATTCCTATCAATCGTCAATTGGAAACCCTGTGCCGAAGTGCTTAAACAAATGCAACCAGCATGTTGCAAATGTTCACTCGGTCCTTCGATGACGGTCAACCAAGAGGTGACGAACTATCAGCAACTCAATGCAACTCAGAACAACGCCCAGATCAACCAATTCGTGAATCAGGATACTGGTCCTACAGTAGCTCAGGTTGCAGAAGCGGAGCAGGCGATTATTGTTAATTGCTCATCATCTGCTCAACCATCGCCCTTAGCTCTTGGATCTGCCTCTCCTGGTTGCTAATGGTGTTCATGGCACTGCGATACTTCATCTCGGCCTCTCTCTCCCATTTCAAAGTGTTGGCACGTTGCTCCGCACCCGGACTCTCTACTGCTTCTTCACACAGCTGGACGAACCCCTTGCGAGGTTCGACTAAGGGCCATACATGACGACATCACCGTGCCAATGCGTTCGGATCCAACGGGTGAAGGAGATCGAGCGCCAGACCCCTCAGACCTTCCTCGCTCACTCCTGGACCGAAGCGACTGCTCAAAGCGTGTCCCTCTCTGGTCACTTGTGAGTTCGCACGGCTTATAGGTGCATAGTGCGAGGTATCATCGCCCCAATGTTCATCAGGAGTATGAAGCATCTCAGTATAGGGAATTCCAGGGTCGCCAGCCATAGCATACTGCTCTGTTCAGTGAGCCGCTTACGGCTGATAACCTATAGAACAGGCATTCAACCCTGCAATAAGTAGTTTTTTTGTTGAGCCATGCGTAGCGGGTATGACGAAGCTACGCCAGTGAGACACTCATGCCATTGGGGTTAATGAGTGATGAATACATCACATGGGAAAACACAAAAATTGCGAATCGTCTGATACGATACGCGTGTCCGTTTAGCGTGCTTGTAGCCGAAATGAACCAAGCGCAAGTCCCTAAAGTTTTGATACTAAATGCATTCGCGCAAAATCAAGAGCTGCAGGTGCCAAACTGATCAATCACATCCACTTTGCAACCGCCAAATCCCTCTGCCGTCAACTTGCTTCCCACGTCTCATATTTCCCTCCTCTTCACCCGTCGAACCCTGGCCTCGTCCTGATGATGATGATGATGATCGAGAATGATCGAGGATTTGTCGACGTGAAGCTGGCTCGATATCCATAACTGCCTTCACAGCTTCTTGCAAAGGCCATCGCTTAATGTTGCCAAATCAGTATTTCGCTTCTCCTTGCCCTGGTTGCGGCTTTGGGCACCATCTGGACGTCGCGCACGTACTACCGGCAAGTTCTGGCTCTCAAGAGCAGGTGCTTCGACGCGCAAATGGTATATCAGGCGCCGTCGCAAACGGAGGCCATCGAAAAGCATCATCTCTTGGAGGCCTGGCCCGAGAACCTTCAGAATTTCTATGACCTTTGTTATTTCAAAACTCTTTCTTCAATCTCCTCGAGTTGGCCCGAAGCTCTTGATGCTCGCCAGTGGCTGGTGCTGTCATTGCAGCAGACTCGCTAAGCGCCACGGACAATCCCAGGCCGTGACTTCCAAACATCCAGCTTGCAGGAATTCATTTGCAATTAGCTTGGCTTCAACTGCGGCTGGCAGCTTGGAATTCGAGAGAACCTACTTGAGCCCCAACAGGCCCAACAGGTGTAAAGCTGCCTTATGCACACGCTCGCATTAAAGCATTAAAGAACAAACAATGCAACACATGAGCGCAAATCGATCTTATCCGGATTGGCAGGCGTGTCTTGAGCCAAAAAAGAACGTGGCAAATATATGCATGCTCGTTTGGGATTCAACATTTTTCGAAGCTTCACCAAAATTGCGGCTGGATGGCAAATAAATTTGAAATCTTTGTAAGCAATCGGGCAACGTGTCGCTTGCCCTCCATTTGTTCAACCTGAGTCTTTGTGTCGCGTACAAACTGATGTTAAAACTCCTATTTGCAGCTTGGCCTTGGGCCGTCTCAGTCCCGCCATTCCTTTGACCCAATCACGGGCAAGTTCAAGCCACACCTTGGCGCAAAATTCAAGCCTCAAGCTGTTGCAAGCTCTTGCAAGCCGCAAGTCCCTCAAGCTGCTCAAACCATCCCAACCGAGGTCACTGCTGCAGAGTGAGCGGAACGCCATCCACCTCGATGACAACCTAACAAGGCCAAACAGCAATCTTTTGATCCACGGTCCTTCCAGCCTTTGTGCTGGCCATGAACCCGCTGCTGCCTGTAGAGAACTGCTTCGGGGTGGCCTGACTCATGCGTGGACCAAAGCTTTGGGAAGGTCACCAGCCTTGAGCTTCTTGTCGCCGATTTGGACCTGGGCGGAAAAACCAATTCAACACAAGAAGGACAATAGCTCGGCTTGGGGAGCCAATAAGGCCCAGGCCGTGATAGCCTTGGCTTTCTTCATGAACTCCTTGCCAAAGCCACGGGTGAGGCTCCAAAGTTTGTACATGTGTTGAGCCCACGTCCTTCCGCGTCATCGATGTTCTCTGACCTTGGCAGGGGCTGTCTGGAAGGTCTGGGGCAACTGCGCTATTCTGTGTTCCTCACGTTCCTTTGTGCTCGGGCCCTTGGCACCCTTGGCACCCTTGCCGCTGGCCTTTCCTTGGTCTGTACTGAGAGCCGTTGCTCGCTTTTTCGCTCTTTCATTTGCACCTGGCTCGGCTTCCTGAACTTGAGCTTCCTGAGCTTCCTGAGCTTCCTGCGGCAAGATTGTCCACTGCGCGGCGTTTCTTTGCGCGCGCTCCTTGCGTCGGCCCTTGGAGCGTCTTGACGGCGCAGTCTCCTGTTGGGCGCCGCCTCGCTCTATTCCATTCAAGCTTTTGCGCCTGGATCTTCTGAATCTGTGCTGCAACCATGTGCTTCAGCTTTTCCTTCTCGCCATCCAGGCTGCCGGGACCTCAGTCAAACAGAAATTGCTCATTTCGAGGTGAAACCAAATTGGCGCCCTCGGTTGGCACGCTTGGGGCCCGGCTCAAGTTGAGACGCTGCTCCAGCTCAGAACGCACCTGCCAGGTGCAACAAAAGCGTGCAAAACACCCTTCGAGTCACCTAAAACTTGAAAGAACATGCGCTGAATGGTCATGGCGGATAGCTTTATCATGCAAACGCGAACAGTGCCGAACCGAGGAATTTTCAGCTTCCTTCTTTGGCTGACTCGCGTTGCCGCTGCTTTAGCAGGTGGGCAAAACTTGGTTTTGTCAATGCGCCTCTTTCAACGATGTGGTGGCGAGGTCTTTGCCGATGAGGATGGAGCTAATGTGGCCTTCAAACTGATCGTCGGTGACTTCAGACCTTCACGCATTCCTTCAAATTGTCAAAGGCTTCAAGCTGAGCACCAAAGCTGAGTTGCAAACGGCATGGCAATGGCAAGTAGCGCATGCGATTGGCAAATAGAGTGCGACTCACCGCTCGCTAGAAAGGTTGGTGACATATTCGTGACATATTCCAACACGATGCTCAGCCTGGAAACCCATCACTTTCTTCGCGCTGCTTCACGAGCCCGGCAAGAGGCACAGCTGACGTTCATGCCACAGTCTGGCCTGATCGGACAAGCAGGCTTCCACTTGTAAGCCAATGTCAAGGTACTTGGTGTGTTCAAACCAATTTGGTGTTTTCAAAAAAGAGGAGGTGGCAACCCTTTCGAAAAAGTGGCTCCGGCGGGAAGGCCAATATGGCCAACAAAAATCAGGATCCCTATGACCAGACATATTGGGGAAAAGGCAGGGGAAAGAAAGGGAAGAGAGGAAAATCGAAATTCCAATACCCCTATGATGGAAACAAAGGTTATCCATCCGCTGACAATGGCAAAGGAAAAGGCGGACATGACAAAGGAAAATCCAAATCGTTCGCAGCCACAGCAGAGAATTTGGAGGAGCAGCCCGCCAATCAAGCCTGCACCATCCACAAAGCCTACATATGTCAGACCAAGATTGGGATCAATCATGGAATTGTACTCGTCCATGAGACATCCAGCACAGGACAAGCATTCATGGCGTTGCATGCTTTAGGCTTTTCAGCAGCATGAGAAAAAGGCCATCCACGAGAGGCTGATCCAAGACGATACAGTTTCAGAGCAAAATTTGTCCGTCACAACAACGCAGAGCCTTTTGGCAACAAAGCTGGCCTGTCATCAACCCTCAGCACAATCTGGCCTATGCGATCCTGGACAACGGATGTACCAGCTCCATGGGCAGCTGGCATGCAATTCTTCCAGCGCCATCGAACCCATGAAAGACCTCATCTGCTACCAGTACATTCCGGCCGAGACCAAGTTCACATTTGCCAATGGAGAGACAGCCGAGGTCAACTGGACCTTGCATCTCAAATATCACACGCCTCCTCCAGCCAGTACCAACATCGACATCCTTGAACAAGGCACCGTACCGATCCTCCTCAGCATCAGCCAGATGCGGAACCTCTACATGACCTTGAGCACACACCTCAATGTGACAAGATCGCATGCAAGGCTTTTGGCATGGATTGCCAAGCAGTTCCAGTATCCAGTACAGGACATGCAGGTTCCCTCCGGGGATTATTCCAAGAGCGAAACTTGCATCCAAATCATCCAAGACAAAAAAGGACACAGCAACTCCAAAAACCCTTGGGTCTCTGAAGCCGGACCATCGGATACTCGACAAGAAGAACAAGCAGCTCATCCGTGCGCACATCACGCCTCGTAAGGCGCTGTTCACACCAACTGGAGCGAAGGAATGTCCAATCAATCCTGACAACATCAGCCGAGAACAACAACAGAAATCATTGATGCATCCAAGGGCGGAGATCCAGACATCCTAGAAGACAGTTGGAGACTTGCATCCCAGGCAATCAAACCGATGGTTAACCTGTGGATAGGTAAGGCCATTTTCACCTTCGCAGACAATTCGCTCAAAGATGAAGAACATCTGCAGCAGACAGGATCATCGACAAGAAAGGCCGGCCGACCGTTGAGCAGATCCTAGTGCACCATCCGCAGACGAACCAACATCCTTACCGCTTGCCTTAGGCAGAATCCGCCAGCGATTAGCTCCACCTTCAGCATCATCACATGACTACCGATCAATTTCGATTCAGAACCCGCGCTCTTCACTTGCCAAAATCAACCTACGATCTATTTGGCAAAATCCGAAGTGAGTGCGAAGTTTGCCACGCAGCAAAGCAAACACCATCAAGAAGCAAGACGAGTGGACTTCGAGCGGACACAACTGGAGACATGACATTATTGGTCATTGTTTTTGCCACCCTGGATGGAGCAATGTCGTTGCGGAGGCCGTAACAACCACGCAGGAACTGGAGAACACCACTGTCCTCAGGAACTATTTTGACCAATGCCACTTGCAGCCTAAATCTGTTGTCGGAGACCAAGCCTTCATGACGGAAACATGGGAACATTTCTATCAATCTCGACATCACACCAATTTCGCTGGGACCGAGTACACCACGGCCGAACGAGCTGAAGCAGCAGTTCGACTCCTGAAGGCACAACTGAAGATGATGCTCAACTCCATTAAGGCAGGCGCAGCGCTCGCATCACTGAAGAAAGTGACATACCGACAACTTGTGAAGGCAGCTGCAACTGTCAGAAATCAAACCGTCATGTACGGTAACGCCGTTGGAACTCGCATTCGGACGATGACCAGCAGATCTCATCCAGCTTGATGTCGCAACTCCAACTCAATTGACGATTGACAGGAATGAGGAAGAGCTGACAGGGCAAGAGGCTCACTTAGGCACCGCAAGATGGCTCACTTGGGCACCCCAAGAGGCTTTTTCAACTCGAAATTGGATCACTTACGCACCCCAGAACGCAACTTGTGCGAAAAACAGGATCACTGAGGCGCCCCACAATCTCTCAGTCGGGCACCCCAATTTGGGACACTTCTCACCTTCATGATGCGTGGGGGGCTGCCTCACCCACTGCCGGGGTGCCTATCCCAGAAGGGAACTGGTACCCTGTGGTAGTAGAGGTCGTTGATTTGGTCGCTGGATCTATTCCGGAGAGAGTCCAATATGCCAATATGGAGGATTGGGGGATGGATTGTCCCTGATGGTTGACTGTGAATCCTGTGAAGCGGTCTGCAAGCCTTTTTATCAATGTACCATGAGTCGAATGACTGTACAAATGACCTGAAAAAGCAACACAAAACAGACACAAATTCTTTTGACCTTTCACACCAAAGTGTATGGTTGGCTTCTTGGCCTTACGTGCCGTAGCCATACTTGAAAGTGCCGTAGCCATGTATTGTTACAATGATTCATCCGATTTTGGCGCGGATGATTTGTCATGTGAGCGAAATGGAAAACAGTCTGTACTGATTCTGTGAGATACCTAGATGTATCGAAAAGGTGATGCACAACGCTATGTGCAGACCGAGATTTTCTTTATGATCCAACTGTTACTCATTATGATGGTTCCCTCGGGATCAAATGCTGTAACAATGTTCTTCGCCTCGATGGTTTGCTCTGTCAATGCTGTTCGCTCTTCGGAGAGTCGGATGTCGTAGTCCTGGTCTTTGAGAAATGCCAGGATCAACAAACAATGCATCTCTTCCCGTTGGCACATGTGTCAATGCTGCTTCTGACGCCTCGTCATCAAGGATAACGTCGTCGATGCATGCCATGTGGATGTGCACTCTCCCCGATGGGTTTGACTGGGATCTCCCAGATTTCAGCCCGTGCTCCATGATGTTGATCAGATTCTCTCCATATGTAGCATGGAACATGAAAGTGATGGGCTTTTTCGCGAACGGCTTGATCTTTCTCTCTTCTTCAATGGATTGAGGTGCCGGCCTTCGCATTCCGGACTTTGCCTGAGCTGTGCCTTCGTCTTCATGGGGCGCGTCGGATCTTGACGGATGCGGACTTGGAGGAATGGATGCCGTTAGAACATCATAGTCCGGTTCTTCTTGGCGAGGCTCACTCTTCTGCTCGGAGTACAGGGGTCGTCCAAAAGATTGGAGATCGACTTGTCGTGTATGACCGCTGTTGCATCTCACGTAGAACTCCATGCCGGGATCATTGAGGAATTCCTTGCCATTAGGCCGGAGTGCATCGTATGCGGATCTAGAGGTGAGGTTGTCGATCCATCGATTTCTTGGAACAATGTCTCCCCTTGCCTTGCGCTCATGGTATGACCCGTCCACGGATGGATGCACGAACGCAATCTCGAAACGTGCCTTCCCATGATTCGGCAACATAGCCATCAAAAGAAGGCCTGTCTTATTGCCCATGTAGTTCCTGGCACGCGTAACGCAGGTCAATGCATCGTAGAGCTCAACGGATCCATCAAGACCCATGTCCACTTGTCGTTTGCATTCTCGGTGTTGGCCTAGCGTGGAATCATGTCGAAAACATCCGGAAAACAGTCTGCTCAATCGCTCGACTCGCCAGAGGATAAGGTCGGTGATCTGTTTTGCCTTGGATGGATCCATGTTGAAGTATTTGCAAACCTGCTCAACGTTCTGGACGGTCTTCTCGAGATCAATATGGCGGTTGTGACACACCATCGGAATGATGTCTGTTCCGAAAACTTCTGGCTGAGCATTGGTGTAGCAGCAAATGCTGTAGACCTTCTTGATGAAGTCCATGTATTGTTTCTCTGTATGTGGACCTTCACCTTGAAGCCTTGGCTTCCAGTAATCGTTGAATCTGGCCTTCAACCAGAATACCTTGGCTCCATGTTGTCGTTCGTGCTCAGGGATGAAGTGGAAGTCAGGATTCGTCCCGAGGATGGTTGAGCACTCCTTGTAGTATTTGTACACGAAAATGAGGAATTTAGAATTCCCGAAAGGTCCTGGATGTACGGATTCCCTCTGGAGGCTGATGTCCGTATCTGATCCATCTGGTACATACCACCGATCGTTGGATGTGAGAGTTGGCCGCATCACTGGTCGCCTTGGAAGTGCAGGTCGGTCACCAGGATGATTGTCGGATTCTGTCTCCTCATCCAGGATGTTCTTTGGCGCTGGCTTCATCTTTGACATAAGCCTTAGTGTTGGTGGTGGTGACTTTGGAACCAGTTTTGGATGTGGCATCGCCTTCGGCTTTGGATTTCCTGCGAGAGGTTGCTCTTCGTCATCCAGGTCATCATCGTTGTCTGTATCTCGATCATAATCAACCTTCTCCATGTCATTATCAGGTTGTTGAGAGGCGGATGGATTCTCATCGACGACCTGCTCCATGGGGCAGTCGGATGTCTCATCTTCCCAATCACGAGCAGGGGATTCCTTCAATGGAGATGCCCGTCTCTTCACCAGCGGCTTCGGCGAAGGAGCCGCAGTGCTGGATTGTCCGAAGATCACGTTGAGAATCGGCATGTCTTCGAGGTGATCGAGCATACACGATTGCAAAGGTCGGAATGGTTGTAAACCGAAAGTGGCTGCATCCCGCATATTTCTTGAGATTCAAAATAGGTCAAGTGCAAAAACACGCATCACGGATTTGAGGAATTGAATATGTGCAAAATGAAAAACTCATGCATCA